CAAACTACAATCAGTCACCTCTGTTTGCTTGGGTTGAAACAGTGATGGCGGAATGTGAGACTATTTGAGAACTGGTTCAGCACTCTGAGATGCTCTCTGTTTATCAAATGGGATATAAGTTAAATGCTGTGTATCAGTTCAAGGAGTTTCTGTGCTACGTTAACATACTCACTTTTCTTCGATTTAGGCCTCCTGAGAGGTGTATAACAGGGCGGGAAATCAGTTATACTCTACACAGGAATGCATTGCATCATAAAATTCAATTTATGATAAGCTCTCTTGTGTCGGTGCAACAGAGTAAAATATATGGCTACAGGGTCAATCTTCAGTTTTCTTTTATCTAAGTCTGAAACACTGTGTTACAGAGCACCTCTGCCTCCGAGGATTCACAGCGTATTTCAGTTTTATTTCAGCTGTCTGTAAAGCTAATCCTTGGATTAAAAATGTCCAGGTCGCAGCAACCCACTGCACAAAACCGAAACTTATCTTCCAGTTGAAAGAGCATGTTTGTTAAGCTTTCTTGAGCTTCTTTTCAAAGGTTTGTGGCATTTAGTAACAGTAGGTGGTGAAGGGGTATTGCAACATTTTATTTCACACGAGGGACCAGTCTCGTAAGCATCTAAGCATCTAAATCCACAATTTTGAATATATTTCCATATTTTGTTTTAAACAATTAAAAAATAGTTTGTCTTTTTATTGCATCTTTTTACTCCCTCTAAGTTATCCATTGGAAAGGAATTCCATTGAACCCCACCCGGATACCCTGCATCGCCACTGCTCAACCATCAAACTCACCTCAGGTGAGAGGATTGACAGTTCTTTGGATGCTACCAACATTGTTTGGTCTGCTTCTCCCCAATCAATTGCTCCTGCACTGTGGCAATTCACTGCCATTAGAGAAAGAGAGAGAGCTCATATAATTCCATTCAGTGCAGACTGAAGTCAAATCAAGGTCCCAGTGGGGAAAATACAAAGAATAGTGTATGAATTTTATTTCACTTTAGGATTGGCCAAATAGATCACGATGGCCTTTTCTGATATTGTGCATTTCCACATTTTCTCATTCATGTCTTCATCACCTCCAGACTTGAATTCTCCACTGCCCTGCTCATCAGTCTCTCTACATCTACACTCCACAAACTGCAGATCATCCAGACCTCAACCTCTCATATTGTTTTCCTCACTTGGCTCTACAGGCCTATAAGTCCCATCCTTGTTCAGCTCCACCGACTGCCTACCCCACATCAGATCTTCATCTTAATCTTTAAATGCCTCCATGGCACTGCCCCACCCTAGCTCTCTGACCTACTGTGGTCCTTTCCTGCTCATCCCCTTCACTCCACAAGCTCTGACCTGCTTCATGTGCCCACCTGCCGCTCCTTAACATTGATGGGTGAACTTTCAACCACTTTACCTCATCCTCTGGAACCAATTTTTCTCTGCCCTGCTTCTGCTTTTACCTGTCTAAAAATGTATCTCTTAATCTGCATCTTCGGCCACCTCCCCCGACTCCCCATCTCTCTGCCAGCTCAGGATCCACGCCATCTTCGTAAAGTGCTAAGTGAAATATGGTACATAAGTGCAAATTTTTGATGTTGTTCCTTTGTATGCTGCACATTCAATTTCCCCACTAAATTATTTTGGTTCAGTATTCATCCTTATTGCATATATGGGCTCTGTCCCTTTGTACCTGCACTCATATGAGATAAGATTTTATTTAGACTGAAAAGAATCACTTGATTCCACAGAATATACCAGTTTCCTAATAGTCATCACCTGTTATGTATGCACCCACACAATGGCCTGATGGCATGCAAGCCTGGTGCAGTAATAGACATGGTGGATTAGCCATGCAGAAGTGGTCTTGTTCCAGAGGTGCGTGACCTTTCCAACATAGTAAAGTTTCATCAGACCGTGAGAAATTTAGAATGCACAGTATAAACCTGATACCTTGCCTTTCTGTGGCCCTTACACTGCCCAAAGCCACTTTATTCCATCCAAGCTGTCCCTGCGTCTCCCTGTCTGACCTCTTTATTGCTCCACTGCTAACTGTTTGCTCTTCCTTCTATCCACAGTGCCATTCCCTACCTCTTTGCTGCTTAATGTCTTGCTCCTTAACTTCTACCTGCTCCGACCTTGAGTATGGGCCAAGATTTTGTAAACACACCTAGACATGGTTACTGAACATTCTTTTGTTATTTTACAACCATTTTTTAGCAAGTGATAACTACTTGGTTCTGATTTTTTTTAGCATTATCTCAAAGGTTTATTTTTAAGTTTTGTTTACCATTTTTCATATAAATAATTATTAGGAAAAATAATTAAAACAACCGTTTAATGTCACAGTTTGAATGGCCGGTGTCGTACTCCAATATTTTTCCTTGTATGTAAAAGATAAAAACTCTAAAGTAATCCTTATTATTGGTGGGATTCAGAGCAGTTATTTTCCAACATAAGAATCCATCTTTTGTAGCTTTAACAGCCGTGCTAATATATGACTAGTGTAAAGTCACTTGAAGATGGCTGGGTGGACAGATCTGGAGAGACAATTAGGTGCCTGTTCTCCTTCAGTGTAAGGAAAGACTGAGCAGATCTTGCTCTATAGCTCTTCATTCAGGCTCCTGCGCATCCCTTTGAGGGTCAAATTCTTCAGATATCAGTCCTTTTTGAGTTTGTTCAGTTAGCTGAATAACAACTAGCTAACACACAATTGTTAAAAATACTGTATTGTAACTCCTTTGACTGTCAACTGACTAAACTGTTGTTGATGTTTACGTATGAACTACCCACTTCATTTTGGTTCTATATTTGCCAACAAAATACCCAGTCAATCCACTTTACAGTATATTCTGTGAAGCACTTTGAGACGTCTCAACAAATTAATAATGTCAAATGCAAAGATTATTATTATTTTTCTTAATTGAGAGGAAGCTCAAGGGTGATCACCACTGCTGAATAGGGCTGAGTATTAAGGAATGAACTGTAAGCAAGTCAGACAAGCTGGGGCTCTTCAGTCATAAAAGAGACATCACAGAGGGACTGTATAGAGGTATATAAGATTTTAAATGGAATTGAGAAAGTAATACACTGAGATAGTAGAACAAGGGAATAAAGGTTTAGAGTGGCAAATGGCAATTTTGGACAGACACCGAATAGTATTTCTTTATCCAGAGGGTAATTAACAACTGGAGCAGATTACAAGGAAGAGTGTTAAGTCCAGGACCCTGGATGCATTTGAAAAACAGCTGTAACGATAGGATAGTAGGGTGAGATATTCTGGAATAATAATAATAATCTTTGTATTTGATATAGTGCCGTATCACATGTTCTAGACATTTCAAAGTGCTTCACAGAATACATTGTAAAGTGAATTGACTGTGTTTTGTGGTGATTGAGATCAAATGGGCCAAAAGCCCTTCTTCATCCGAATTGATCTCATGATCTCCTGAATAAAGACAGATGGAGGAAGAAGCAGTGGTGTGAGGTGATGGGTTTTATAGTCTTGGGTTTTAAAAGCTTTAATTTTGTAAAAGGAAGGTAACAACAGGCTGCATTGATATAGGAAAATGTCTCAAAATGCTTTGTAGAGACAAAGTAAGAGGTTGAGCAGACTGGGACATGGGGTGAAGGTGAGGGGGGCTGAATGTGCAGAGTGTAATGTTTACAGTCTGTCCAGTAAAAAAGCTCCACTTTATATCAGATTCAATATGACGAGGGAAGGTGGAGATGGAAGCTGCTCTTCCACAATATCTATACTGTGAAAGAGCAGCAGTTGACTTCTTACCAGTACTGTGATGCTGCTGTTTTTGAACCTGCTGCTTAGGAGAACAGAGCAGACTACTGAACCGTCTCGCTGCCCTGGGACAGCCACAGCTAAGATCACAAGTGGTGAACCACATGCACATACATACATTCATTCTAACACTACATGACTCGGTGCACAAGAGCACAAACCACGGGGGCCTTTGGTTTGGTTTCTGAACCAAATGCTATTGAAATATTTCAATGACTCTTTCACTTTACTTTTGTTTTCAGATTTAATATTCTCTCCCGAATCAGCTTATTTTATTGAAATGAAAATTCATTGGGCATGACATTTACAAACCACAATGTACTGTATTTATTAAACATATGGATAAATTAGCTGTAAAATTATTTGCATGCATGGATCACTTACAAAACAAACAGTAACATTCATGTGGGAGTCCGGCTGAGCACAGAGCTTTTCCTAAGCATTCTTCCAGATGATTTTAATTACCATGACCTTATGATTTATTACTGGTATACAGTATTAGAGGGATATTTGTTTCAATGACATTCTTCTTGACGACAGAGAAGGATCACTCCTTTGAGTTATTACCGTCAGTGTAATAGCTTTGCATACGCTGCACCCAATGTGACCATTATTAAGTAACCTCAACAGAAGATGAAAGACAGTAAAGCAAATATTGAAGTCTTCCAAAAGTCGCAGGCACTGTCCTTGGATGCATTGTGCAAAAAAGGTCATTTGTAAAATCTCTGCAAAACCTGTGATCATAATGAAGCTTTCACTTTGGGCTGTGGAATTGCCTCTGGCCTGATTACATAAACAATCCTACCTCGAGATAGAAATTAAAGCAAGTTAAGCCTGCTGGCTAGCTATTTGAGTACCATTGCATCAAGCATCCACATTTGTTGTGTCTTAAATTATTATATGCCTGGATTTTAATTTGCTTCACTCAAAATGTACAGGAAGATGTTTTCTCAAACCAAAATATGTATTTTTAGAGCTGTAGTTTTTTGGTTGTGATGAAAAAGGTGCTACACAACAAATTCAATGTGGCACTGAATCAGTTCGAAAACATCGGTAAGTTTCATTTCAGGACCTGATGATGAATCAATCAATTTTTACAAGGAAGTACTGAGTTTGGTTTAGAAAATGCTCTATTTAGTGCAAAGTTTGGATATTTGATATTTTTTCGCCAGAGGCACACCACTGACATAATGATAAGAAGCCTCACTTGAATGAAACTTGTGAGTTTATTGAGATTCACATTTTAGCTCCATAACAAAACATCAAATATAGTGTCTGAGATGTTCTGAGCATTATAGGTGTAATATCAAATACAAGGATTATTATTATTGGGACAAAGTCATATAGAAGAGCCTTACAATAGTGATTGTGTATGTGTGTGTGTGTGTGTGTGATCTCGCCCCTCTAGGATATCCAGACAGCCTCATAACAGAAAGTTTCATAATACAAGATAGATATAATTCATCTGAAGATTGTCACAGTCCCCAGAGGAGTGCAGATCCCGCTCTGGGATTTCTCTGAGGTTGTTGTCAGTATTGTCCTATGGTCAGCCAGCAGGGGGGAGTGCTTCAGCAGATCAGGACATGTCCTAATGTTGTTTCTCCCATCTTCAGAGATGGAGCGCCTCGAAGTCTAAAACACACAATTCACAACAGGAATCTCACAGAATTCATAAATATTAGTAACCAGATGAAATGTGTCACACAGCCCTGTTCTGGTACAGATTCCTTCCGAACACATTACACTGGAGTTCCCATAGGTCAGTGTGACGCACATCCAGTTACCTCCAGGATTCAAGATTTAACAAACATGATTGGGCAAAGTTCCACCTGGGTCTAGATTTACTCTATTTATGTAGCAATGTAGAGCATCCAGAATTTGGCAAATTAGTGAATCCAGTTTTTAAATGTAGTTTCGTAAAAGAGTTTATGGAAACCCATTGTTAAAATTATGGCTGTATTTGTCAATGTTCCAAATTTTGGGCACTCTGAAATGGCAACCTATTTTTCTCTTTTGGATGTTGATTGCACTGCTGCATATTTCCATCATTTCGTTTTTGACTTATGGTCAAAGGCCTTCCTGAGACTATCAAAAAAGCTCTCACTGGCTTTTTGCAGGGCCCCAGACGCAACTCTCAATAGAGCAGTAACATTATTCAAACCGGTGAAGTGAATGACCAATTTTTTTTTCTCTGTGGTATTGTTGTCCAGGACAGCAGAACAAACTCTCTTCTGTTTTTGAATAGTGCCCTGGGATTCTTTAACATCCACTTGAATAAAATAATAAACTTGTAGAGGCTTATTATGGTGACACATCTGCAGCAATGGGATCAAGCAGCTAACAGGTCAACTAAATGTTATAAATTAACTGTGGAATTTGAAGGGGTTGAATCGGGTGTCAATTTGACTCAGTTGGTGGCACTTGCTCCTCTGATTCAAGAGAACATCAGGTCTTAAGATCATACTTTAGCTTCTTGTTCACAATTCCCCACATGTTGAGTTCCTGATCACAACTTTGCTGTCAGAAAGCAACACTGAGCAGACGCTGTTCTGTTCACCATAGGCAACAAGGGAGAATTACAGATTTTAAGCCATTTCCTTAGATGTACATGTGGAAATAGTCTAAAATGTTCTTACGATCCTAAGGGATTGATTATAATGTTTTTATTGCATCATTTAGCAATAATAATAATAATACTTGCGTTTGATATAGCGCCTTATCACGTCTTTGAGATGTCTCAAAGCGCTTCAAAGAATATAGTGTAAAGTGGATTGACTGTATATTTTGAATTTTGACAGTTATCATTGTGTTTGTTTCTCAACACTGTGATTTGGTGGCTTTTTTTATAGTCTGGCATCAATACTTTTAACATTAATCCATAAAATCGAACCTTACTAAAATGTCCTCACATCCTGTAACTGTACTCCTTGTTTTAGGTATTGCACAAAAATGAAATTAACTAAAGCAAGCATTATCATTGAAAAAAAACTAGAGAAAAGAAGGAATGTTATTTTCTCTCAATTTTAAAATAGCCATTTAGTTGTCTGTAATGCAGGTTAAATTTTGCCTCAGGTATTATTCCGTGAGGGCAAGCAGTCAGACTGCCTCGAATCTCTGCCAATATCCCTCTCTACCAGAACTGAGATATAGTCTAGACGTGGCAATCCTCTCCCATGGATACAATAAAAAAACATGAATGTGGGTTCCCTTGTCCCTGAACATTTGTATACACACACAGGCTCAGTGACCCACTGCCAACAGGATGTAGAGAGATCTAACAGGTCAAGAGCATAGATCATTAAAATCTAGTTTGCAGGTGCAGATAGCAGGCAATAAGGCAAATAGGCTGCTGGACTTTAACCCAAGAGTACTGAAATATAAAAATATGGAGGTGCAGCTCCTGTTATACTGACTGGTAGTCAAACCTCATTTAGAGTTTGGTGTTCAGCTTGGGAAACCAAGCTTACGAAGGATATACTTGGAGGGTATTCAGAAGAGATTCAGCTATGATGAGAGGCTAGGTGGACTGGGATTATCTTCCTTTGAGCAGAGGAGGTTAAGGTGATTTGATTGAATGATACAAAATAATGAAAGGAATTGACAGGTTAGATAGTGGACAACTCTTCCCTTTGGTAGAATGATCCAGTAACTAAGGCAGTTAAAACTGAGGTCAGAAACCACTTCTTCGCATAGAGCATGGTGAAGATGTGGAATGCTCTGCCCCAGAAACCTATAGAGGTGGAATCAATAGGGATGTTTAAAAAGAGAGATGGTGAGATCCCGGGGAGTACCTGTATAAAGGGGCATGGCAAAAGGGCAGGTTATTGAGATTAAAAGATCTGTCAGGATCTAATAAACTAGAACAAGCTTGGGCAGGCCGAATGGCCTTCACCTGTTCCTGTATTCCTATGATTCTATGTGTTCAATCTATTTACACTGGAAATTTTATAAAAATGAAAATTAATAGAAAAATGGGGAGAGAGGGAAAGCAGGTCAGAGAATCATAATAATCCTTGCATTTGATATAGTGCTTGACACGTCTTCTAGATATCTCAAACCGTTTCACAGAATATACTGTAAAGTGAATTGACTGTATTTTTTTGTGGGTGAAACGCAGCAGCCAATTGCGCAGAGCAGTGTCCCACAAATAGTCGTGGATTGAGTGACCAAATTATTATTGTTTTTTTTTAAGGATTATTTTCCCTGGAAAAGCGATCCACCACTCGACTAACAACCGGATTCCTACTTACTGCTAGGTAAACAGAGGCGTGTGGAGTAAGGAAACTTGCCCAATATTTTGCCTACATGGGAATAGAACCCAGGGATCCCTCTTGCAAGGTGAGTGCCCTAACCACTGAACTACAGAACTCCATCATAGAGGGAAACATGGAAAACTCAGGCCAGGACAGTGAGTGCTAGAGGCTATATGGGTTACCCATGAAACTAAGTCAGCATGTACTGATCCAGCAGGCCTCACCAGCTAGTAATCTTTGATGTGAATATGGGCCTTTATCTATCTCCCAAGCATAGAACTATTGAGGTCAATTTTAGCATGTCAACTTCTGTTTAAGGATGAGAAAATTGCCAATTTACCATAATAATGATAATCCTTGCATTTGACATTGCGCCTTATCATGTCATTGAGACATCTCAAAGCATTTCATAGGATATACCGTAAAGTGTAATGACTGCGTATTAGTGAGTATAAAATGTAACCCAGTGAATAGTTTCCATCAGCATTGTATTATAACATGGAGCCCATTGTAAGCCTTTTGTATTTTGATCTATTATAACAATAATACTTGCAATTTTTAGCGCCTTATCATGTCATCGAAAAGTCTCAAAACACTTCACAGGATTTATTGTAAAATGTAGTAACTATTTTGTAGACAGCCAATTTGTGAACAGAAATGTCCCACAAATAGCCACAAACTGAATGACCAATTTCAATTGGGGGTCAGAATACCGGGAAAAAACACTTATCTTTTCAAATAGTGCCATAGGATCTTTAACACCCACATTTCATAATTTGTTATTCTTTTGTTTGAAAATAATTTCTAAATGCTCTAAATAACACATTCCTGAATGCAACTACATTTTCATATAAGACAAAAAGACAATTTGCTTTCACACCTTATATAACACAGTCATTGTTTCCTGGATTTACCCAAAGTGAGCCAAAAGCAGCTTCTGGTCACTTTCTACGTTTTAAAAGCACTGACTAGTATTGACCCAAAGCCACATAACAAACAGGGATCACTCGCTGGCTGTCAGTCAGGTGCTCTGTAAAGATCACCCACTGTTTCATGTTATCACGGGTGAAAGGAAGTTTTCAAATGTAGTCTATTTCCTCATGTTCTTAATATTGTTGAAAAAGACTTCAAAAGAACACTGGAGCTCAAAGAAGTATCACAAGTAGAAGTAAGTGCCTCAACGTAACCCAATATCAGAGCAGTTGGTGCCAATGTTTATATTTCTAAAAATACATTTTAAAACATGTGAATCTTAAAGCTGCACATATTAAATCTGAACGTGGCCCTTTCACTGTGAAAAAGGACAATTTGTTACATGTTTCTGGCCAAGTGGGAGATCTACTGGAGATGCCAAAGAAGCAAAATTAAGCAATTTTCTTTAGCCTGAATCTTTTGTTACATTTATAAGCATATCTTTTGTTACATTCTTTATTTAGATTAAAATGCATACTGGATTTACCTTTTCAAAATATAGCTACAATAATATAGCACCTTTCGCATTAAACAAACATCTCATAGAACTTTAGAAAATGAAATGGATTAGAGATGAAAGTGAACATTGTTATGCAGGCAAATATATCTTAAATAGATAATATACAATAACTGTAAAGCTATATTAATAGAAATCCTTATGTTTGATACAGTACCTTATTACGTCCAAAGCATTTCAAAGCCCTTCACTTGATTTATGGGAAGTCTCGTGAAGTGTGTATTTGTAAGCAAAAGGGGTAGCCAATTTACACACGTCAAAGTATCACAAACAGCCATGAACTGAACGATTAATTTTAATCTCGGCAATTGTTGACCAAGAAACCTGGAGAAACTCCCTTCTCTTTTCAAATAATGCCATGTGATCTTTAACAACCATCTGATCAGGCAGACAGACAGGCAGTTAATGTTTCATCCAAAAGATCTCCAACAAAAGAGCACTTGCCCTTCACTGTACTAGAGGGGTAGCTTAGACTATGAGCTCAAACTACTGATATAGGGCTTGAATCCACAACCTTCTGTCTCAGAGGCAAGAGTGTTACCAGATGATCCAGGCTGACGGCTATTGAACGGTTTTGTTATGAAATGGCAGAAATATTTTTAAAATGTGTACACTTTATAATACGGTGGAAGCCGATTAAGACGGACACATCAGGGACGGCTGTTTTGTCTGCCTTAAGAGATGTCCGAGGTTAGCCGAAATACCATTACCTCTTCCCACCCAGCAGAGGACTGGCAGCCTCCCTCCCATTGCCGTTCCCATTGGACGGGAAGGGGAACAATTAGCGGAGGCTCCAAGATGATTAACAGCCTTGTGCTTTAAATGTAGAAATTCCCTAAGTATTGAATAATAATTTGATTTGAAATAGCCCTGACATAGGGTTTAAACTTATATTGAAGTCTTAACATGGGGCATGAACCCACAACATTTCAACTGAGAGATGAAAGTGTTTCCAAACATGATTATGCAGGCATGTTGTACATCCAACCTTAGGGTTCTGCCCAATCTGCAAAGCCAGATCCACATTTATCTTTCCTGCTCATGGCTGGTCGGTTTCAGCTGTCAGGTAGCAGGGTTGCTCAGAGCAAGGTAGAGTGTTTTTAGACCCAACAGGCTTGATTTTTTTTGTTGGTCAGCAAAGTATCAAACACACATGGAAAAACCTGACCATGTTTAAGAATATCCCAAACAAACAACTAAGGCTTGTACAAATGTGTTGTTTCCATTTGTGTGCTGATAATCTAATCCCAGAGAATTTAAGTGCAGATTACCAAGGTTTGCAGGTTAGGGTACTTCAGAGTGTGTTGGGGTACTTCTGGAATTTAACCACTTTAGCAGAATACTGCTATGGTACCTGCTATCCAGGTAGGATCATCTTACCCATTAGATTTTTGTCTTGCAGGATTACTAGGAACTGAGTGTGAAAGATACAAGAAGGTACTAGAAACTCCTCACTAGCTGCATGATGAGCAGCCAAACTCAGCATAAAAGCTAGCTCTAGAATAAAAGATGAAGGCATGTTGATAATTTTGAATATTTTAGTGATCAGCATAATAATTTAGGCCCCACTGTTTACAGCTTTTACCACAAAAAGGAGATTAATTTCAAATGTCCTCATTTGTTTTTATTACAAAACACAGCACTCATGTTTCTATATATTTATGAAAAGATTGTAAAGTCAGTATCATTGTTAGACAGAATAGAAATATGATCATAAGAACATAAGGAAAATTGGAAATAAGAAGAGTCAATTCAATCCAACAAAGCTCATCCTTCTGGTACATCATGATATGGAAACTTTCTGTTGTCGTTGCAATGAACAACTCAGAATTGTCCAACGTCTGTTGTTTGCTTTGCTTCAGAATATATTTTCAATGTGAAATACGGGGCCAATTTAGTTGCAATTTTGAAATTTATCATGTAGCTCCCCACCATACTGAATGGCAACATATGCTAGTACTGGACTTCCTACCCACAGATTGCTGCCTTTGACTGCCAGGTACAGGCTACTCTGAGCTTTTTGTTTAGTAATAAGCCACTATGCCCTCGCTGGCCACTGGAGGCTGCAAGCCAGATATCCAGTGCTGTGAGCTTCATTTCTTGGACAGTGAAATGCCAGCCAGTGGGACACTAATTCATCATTATTTTTGAGTCAAACTATGATCTGTTAATCAGCATTCCTATGGGATCATGCCTGGCACATTCATAGAACCATAGAAATGTCCAGCACAGGAGGAAAGCCATTTGATTGTGCTGGTTATCTGAAAAAACTACCCAATTAGTCCCCTGCTTCTGCCTTTCTCCATGCCAATATGATAAATACTAAATTGAGCCCTATCACTTCGGGAAAGGACAGCTCTAGAGTACTGAGTAAATAATGGAAAGTACAGAATTTCATACGCTGCCCTACTTTACAATTATTCCCAAACCAGTCAAGCTAAAAAACTACAGCAGCTGAATTCTGCCAACAGAATCTTAAAACCCATTAATCTGGTTTGCTAAATGAGGAATAATTAGCAGGTTACTGCTTGCCCATAAGTACAGTACTGCCTTTCCCACAAACCATACTTGCATTGCTCTAGTTTATGATCAGTGTACTGTACTGGTTAATTGTATGGAATAGTATCACATAGAAAAAGAATATGCATTTTTTAGACTTGTGTTACAAATCATACCTGTTACAATTGTTTCTTCTGCTGTTCTTCTTATAACAATACTTTTCTTCATCTCTGTACATAATTTGCTGGAAGAATGATTGGCTGTGTAATGCAGTGTCCACTGTGGAATGAATTGATTTGTCAACCTGCTAAGAAAAATTTAGTGACCTAAACTATACAATGTAGGGATTTAGCTCCAACATACTCAGAGTGCAAAGACCACAATGAAACAATATAGTTTAAATGTGCTGAGCAGTCATGTCAAGAGAACCTTGACAGCATTTTGACAGCAACCGGCAGGAGTAATATTCCTCTGTCATTGCCAGTTTCACTTAAACAAAACGATAATTAACATAACCATCATTCTGTGACCCGTTTGTTTTTCTAGCTGAGGGTGGGACACCATTGAAGGATCAGCAGTTGGCCTTCAATCTTTGAAGACTTTAGCAGCAATGTCATCTGTACTAGGAATTTCACTGACTCTTCAAAAATTGGATAGCTGGATAATAATAATAATAATCCTTGCATTTGATATTGCATCTTATCTCATCTTCAAGATGTCTCAAAGCGCTTCACAGAATATGTAGTCACTGTATATGTTTTGTGGACGAAACGCGGCAGCCAATTGAACACAGCAGTGTCCCACAAACAGTCGTGGATTGAGTGACCAAATTATTGTTATTTTTGTTTTTAAAGGGATTATTACCCCTCGAAAAGCTATATAAAAAGCTATACCTTGGTTTGATGAATCTGCTAACCAGTACTGAGCGTGATATTGCATGATAGCATTTATTGCCTGCAGATTCCCATTGAATAAATCCCTTCTACGTGATCATCAGCAGTCAGGCTTTCAGCCTATTTGCCCCCACTTTCTGGAACTCCATCCCAGAGTTCCTCTGACTACCTCTCCTCCCTTCCTCACCTCATTCAAGATCCTTTTCCAGACCTGTCTCTTTGACTGTGTTTTCAGTCATCTTTCCCCTCTCCATCCCTCTCAGCTCTCCACCCCCCAACCCCCACCCAACTCAGGTACCAAACCAGTGTTGTTAAGCATGTTGAGATACCTTCCCAATGTGAAAGGTAGTATAAATTTGCATTATATTGTTCCAGTGTGTTCACTGAACTTTTTAGCACAAGTACACTAGTTTGGGAACTGTAAATGGATACAGCTTGTAAATGAATATAAAAGTGTTTGCTGCTGTGTTGGTTAGTAGACATATAATCAGCATTCTTTACTTACCCAATTACCTTTCATACTGTGCAATATTCCCTGGATCTCACTTTAAAGTTTGATGGATCGGTTCTTTGTTGTGAGTGATTTCTTGTCACTCTGCCAGTCTGGAAATACTACTCATTTAATTCTTGGCCTCAAACCCTTCAGCTGCAGCAATCTGAGGCATGGGTTTTGTCCTCAACACCACTCAGCCAGTTGTGTGCTTTTGAAATACATGTCTGGATGTCTCTCTGTGGAGAAGGGAAACTGTCATTTAAATTTGGCATTGTCAATCATATGGCTCAAGGATCCCAACAGCAAGCAGTTGCTGAACCATATACTATTACAGATATAAATAGATCTGGGTGTTTGGTTTGGTTGTTAAATTTTAAATGATGATGAATGGCACATAGAATTGTGTTGTTCTCCTCCAATTTCTCTACCCTCCTGCCCTCCCTCAACTAACCCTCCACGTAAGCTCTCTTTAAAAACTATACACTTCTAAATCAAGACTGATGAGATTTCCACGATTCTGCATAATTTTAAATTTTAAGATGAAATGGTCTTAAAGCTAAGACTAAGTGAAACTTTGGGTCTCAGGACTTTCCCTCCACAATTTAAAGGGAAGGAGGATTAAGAGTAATGTGAAATAATTATTAATTCCAATTTTGTGCACTCCATTTAAGCTCTCTGATGTGTTGGAGACATTAACGACATCTGGAACATATCACCTTTAATTTCTCTGCTGAAAAAAGGCGAAGTATTTACGTGAGCTGAATAATATCCCAAGCATTCACTGATATCTAAGTGTATATTACGTTTTCTGAAGAAAGAAGGTGAATTGTGTAATTTGTGCCATGACTGAATTGTACATAGTAAGCGCTAGAGGCTTAAATGGAGATGTAATGCATTGTAAATAATTTTTTTTAATGGCTCATCTGTGTGGAGGAGGCAGTGATTTAGAATTGTTGGATGAGGTCTGAAAGCTTCACTGGTTGGACTAGTCAGTCAGAAACATTTCTTTCCCAAACCACCAGCAGCTCCCTTATCCCCAAATGACCAGGCCAACATCTAAGGGATCAGTTCTATTGTTACCAGGCTTTAGTTTGTTGTCTATCTCACTGCAGTCTGCCGCTTTTTAATTCACCTCCTATTAAGAATTCATTAGGTGAAGGGAATGAACAACGTAACTTTCAATCTGAAGGGAATTAGGTGGATCACCCAGTGAGCTTCCCTGCAGTTAGCTCCCACATAGAGGGAGCCCCAAATGCCCGGGGGAACTGTTTCCTATATTCAGAGAGCATGTGTGGTACTGTTG